CAGCGCGGGCCCAGCTCTGCCGAGGCCGCCGGCGGGGACACGGCTGGGCACCCTGCCTTCCCGGGGCCCCAGGCTCGGCCTCGCGGGCTCGGGGACCATGAGGCGTCGTGGGCAGGGCCGGGATCGAGAGCATCGCCGAGGCGCAGCGTGGCGCTCGGGCCGCCCGGGGACACCTCTCCGGGGTCTCGGCCCGCCCGGGGCCTGAGGACGCGTCCGCCGCACACTCTGCGGAAGTCTCGGGGTAGACGGCGTTCGAGCGACTGTGCAAAGCGTCTGTCTGGCCCGGGACCCAGAGTTCCGAAACCCGAACGCCCGATCGCCGGCGCAAAGGGCAGGCCGAGCCCGCGGGCCTGGAGAGGACTCGGAGGGAGGGCCCGAGCCCCAGCGTCGGGCTGGCGGCTCCCCTGCGCCCCTCGGGCTTCTCCGGCCTCCGAAAGTTGTTCGCCCAGAGAGGAGTGGAGAGGAGACTCCTCCCCCGGGCCAGGTAGACACCCAGACCTCTCCTCCCAGGGCCTGCGCCGGCCCTCGCCCCACGGTAATTAATAGTCAGGGCCAACCCTTTTGGCACGTTCCTGCCTCCTCCCTCGCGGGTGGCAGAGCTGTTCCCTGAGGCCAGAAACTTTCACTCGTGTTCCCGGGGACAGGCTGATGCGCGCGGGCCCGGCATTTCTCCGTTCGCTGCCTTCCTTCCATCCTTCCCTTCCTCCTCCTCTCGGTTGTCTCCCAGCCGCAGGCCAGTCGCCAGTCCGCGCAGTTTTGTTTCCTTTCCATCATGCAGAAAATTAATCAACCAGGACGAGCAGCAGAGCCGAGCGCGGCGGCCTGTAATTAAGGGACGTGTGCCCCTCGGATTATCTCGTTAGTTTATCAAGAAAACATTTATTATAATTAATTCTCGGACGAGGTAATTATTATTGAGCGAGGACACAGCAACTGGTAGATGGGCTTCTTAGAAGGAAAAAAAAAACAAGGGAGGGGGAGGGGAAGCGACAGATTGCACGGGCTGACCGTTACATATAAGGCTGCGCAGGCCGCGGCGGGCAGTGCAGGGCCGGGGCCGGGGCCGAGGCCGAGGCCGGGGCGGGAGCCGGGCCGGGGCGCGGGCTGAGGCGGGGAGCGAGCCTCCTGCGCCGGGAGTCGCAGCGCTACTGCCGATCGCTCCAGATAGGAGTTCTCCAGAAGCCACCTCGCCTCTCCTGCAGTCCTCTCGAGGCGTCGGGTTTGGAAAGGGTAATTTCTTTCTCCCCTTCGGGACCGTGCTTGGAGAGGAAGGTACTCAGGCTTCCTTACCGGACTTTGAAAGTTAGGTGGAAGGGCCCAGCGCCCCTTCCTGGAGGGGTGCGTACCTAGGCTGGCGGGTGAGAGCACCCCCGGGGTTTTGTTTTTGTTTTTCCTTTTTCTTTTTAAAGGTGGATCCAGGAGTAAAAGTGAAAATAGTCTGTACTGAGAATTTTAGCCATTTTGTGATGTGAGAGCAAAGGTGCTCCAAGAAGGACTTCAGTCCTGGTGGTTTCTGTCTCTGACTGCTTTTTATGTTGGAATGTGCTACTTTATTTATTGTATGGGGTGTCAGGCATTTCTAATTGGGTGAGAGCTGGACATGTAAAAACATTTCCATATTTCTCATGTGTACATTTGAGATGATTTTAGGTTTCTCTTTGGCAGTTGAGAATTTTACAAGGCAGGAAGATTGTATTAATCAAAAAAGAACCCCAGCTTAGGCACTATCTAAACAAATACGAGACTGTATTTTAAAGCAGTATTATTTTCACAGCCTCCAAATAACTGCATCTTTAAAAGAAAAGAATAAAAAACATACAGTCTTTGTGGTAGGAGCGACTAAATTAGTTTTTCAAACTTCTCCAAGAAGAACATTTATAAAATTTCATTAAATTGTATTTTAAATGGAACAGTGTGACTTTGCGCTCTGAATTTTAATCAGGAAGAAGTTGCAGTCACCAAGTTCCATTTGTGGAACTTTGTGTCTTCAGCAATGTAAATACAAAAACCCAGGATGCTTAAAACTCTTTGAGACTTATTTTAAAAGGGGGGAACTCCTAGTCTTGCATCCGCCATTTTGAGTCAATCTCTGCTAGTGTCAAAGTTTCAAAGTAGAGATTCTTGCGGGGTAAGTGCCATGTTTGAGGAATATTAAAGCTAGATTTGCAAAATCTGCCGGGCTATAGTCCCACCTATTTTGGATCTCTGTGCTAGGGAGGAGAGGGGAGAGGCCAGATGAAGAAAGTAAATTAACTTCTTTCTCTCCCTCCTCCCTCAGCTCCTTTTCTTATACGATAGTAGGGAACTTGAAAGGGAGGGTGAAATTCTGTTAGTCTCACAACTTTGGGTGTTTATGTACTTACTTCCTCCAAAACTAAAATGTGCAAAAGGCAGTTCAAGTTAACAGGAAACTGCACCGCAGTTGCTGAGGACCCAAATGTCCGAAAATTTGCCTCCACAGGATCTGCAGCCTCCACACATCTAAATCAACATGGAAGCGGCTGGCACTACAAACGCACACCCCTGTGCTTGCAAATGTGGGCTTGTTATTATCTGATTGCCGGGATTCTCACTTTACTTCGCAATTTCTGACAAGCCTTGTGCCAATCTTGAGACTTTTTTGCAGTGTGTTTAAATATTTGATGGGTGTTGCTTAAAAATTAAATGCTTGTTTGTTTAGCTTTAGTTCTTTAGACACATATAATCAAGGTTCTCCAAAACCCTAATAAATCTGTTACTTACCTCGAAATCTAATTATCGAGACTACTAATCAGGTGAAAATGATTACTGGAAATGACTTTAAACATGGAAGAACAGTGGCCGGGCAGTTTTCTCAAGTTTGTTGTTTAGCGAGTTGGTGTTTTAGATGTTGACTGCATTGACGTTGTAGGTTTGAAGCAGTCAAAAGTGGTAAAAAGCTAAGATAATTAAAATCTCTGCCATGGAAAGGCAACAGTCTGGGGAGAGGTAGATTTCTTGAATTGTTTCTTTGTTTCTCACCAATGGGCTTTGTTATCAGCATTATTTATTTAGCCTAAGAGTTCTTTGTCTCTGCAAATGGCCCCAATCAAGTTTTGTTTGAGACAATTAGCGAGTGCCAGCCAATGAGTCCTATGCAAATGCTGGGATAGGAATGCGAGGTGTGCATTTGAAGGCGTGGGGTTTTATTCTGGGGGAAGGCTGATTGTAATTGCTTTCTTAGGGTCCCTTCTTTTTCTAAGTTTAGTGTGGGGGTGGGGAAAGACAGGTTTATCAGGTCTCCCTGCAGTTCCAGGCAGCTGTGGTGGTGGTGGTGGTGGTGGTAGGGAGGGGGGGCGTTGTCTGCGAGTCCTTTAAAAGCCCCTGCCTGGCCTGGCTGGGCTCTTTAGTTAGTGGTGGAACGTGGGAGAGCCTCTACCTCCGAAGCAGTAAACCAGCTCTTCTGTTTATTTGTTTGCTTTGCCCTTAGTTCCACCACTCCAGAACCACCCACCACCGACCTTGGACCCGTCCACTCCAGGCGAATTCAGACCATCTGGCTGGGTCCCCCCGATTTGGGCCGACTTTGCGCCTCCAAACAACCTTAGCATGATGTCTTATCTTAAGCAACCGCCTTATGCAGTCAATGGGCTGAGTCTGACCACTTCGGGCATGGACTTGCTGCACCCCTCCGTGGGCTACCCGGGTAAGTGAGCCTGTGGCCACCTGCCCCACAGGGATTAACACCCTCCGTCCCTCGAGCACCGGGCTGGAGGCCACACTGTCCCAGCCCGGCTCCAGGCGAGGTGCCCACTGGGTTTTCCTCGGGAAGAAACCGCTGAGAGCCACGGGTGTGGACCAGCTGGGAAGAATCCAAGAGGTGTGTCTGCCGCAGTTGCAGGAAATCTTCACTGTTGACCTTAATTCCAGTGGCTTGGGACAGGCACTGGGGTGAGATGGAGATGGCTATGTTCCTTGTCGCTTGGGCAGGAGGCCCTTGGCCCTCCTGTTGCGGTGCCCAGTTCCTCAGAAGTAGCTCGGGGAAGCCGAGTTTCCTCAGTAAGCATCCTTTGCAGCTCTCAAGGCTTTGCCCCGGGTCTTCCTGGCCTAATCCCAAAAGTGTGACCCCTCCCACCCTGCCAGTGCTTTGCATTCAGCTGTTTTGTTGAGCTATATCCCCATTTTAAAGATGGAGAAGAAAAGGCCTTTAGAGTGCTAACACCAGTGAGCAGGGTAGAGGTTCGCCCCGTCTACCCTGGGGTCTCCGCTGGAGATCCTTTGACTTCGCTGAGGCTTTTCTAGTTGTGTTCTAGTTTTTTTTTTGGGGGGGTGGATTTTGGAGGAGTTGAGGTTTTTTTGTTTTTTAAAAAAATTTCATTTGTTTTGTTAGCTTTCTCCAAGTGACCTTCCAGTCGGAGTGGTCTCTAGTCAGCCAACTGGGGGCCTCTCTGGTATGGCAGTGCAGTGCATCAGGGCCAGACCTTGAGGGGTAGGGTTAGCCTCGGGTAGAATGCGGGAGGACTGGACAGTTGAGGAGCCATGGAGACCCCGTGACTGAGAAACTGCTCCCCCACCCTAAAGGGCCCTGGGCTTCTTGTCCTGCAGCCACCCCCCGGAAACAGCGGCGAGAGAGGACGACTTTCACCCGGGCGCAGCTAGACGTGCTGGAAGCTCTGTTTGCCAAGACCCGGTACCCAGACATCTTCATGCGCGAGGAGGTGGCGCTGAAAATCAACTTGCCTGAATCCAGGGTGCAGGTAGGAGCCGTCCTCACGGGACATGCCTCCCCTTTCCCAGGATCCAAGGCAGGTTTACAGCTCTAAACAACCAGGGACCAGTAAACCACTCTCCTTGGCCTCCTGCTCCTCTCTTAATCCTATAAGCAAAGGTCTTTTGGCCCAGGTTGCCAGGTAAGAGTAGCAATTTGGCTATCATGATAAAGTCCTAGAACCCTCATTCTCTGCTGGGCAGAGACCCACCCCCAGGTAGATTTCAGTGGGAGTCAGTGGCGTTTACACCTTGCTCCTCTCTGTGTGGAAATGCTCTGCTATTCTCACAGACTTTTATATGTGCAGGAAGCTTGGGTCTTGAGTAACTGAAATACTTTCACAGTAAAGAAACAGAGCAAATGACTCGCTCAAGGTCATAATCTAAACTGGAAGCACAGCCAGGCTATAGAAACATCTGGTGCTTTTACCAAATAAGATAACACAATAAAAGTGTATTTTCTTTAACTTCTTAGGGATTGAACAGAATTTTCTAGTTCTGGGCCATTTAAACAGATAAAATATCTGCAAAATGTACCTAGCGACATGCCCTTGGTTTAGTTACTCTGCCCCTCACTTGACCCTAAAAAGGAAAAGGGAAGTCAGCTCTTCCCTGCTTGAAGCAGAAGCCCACAAGTTCTCAGGAAGGTGTTTAGTGTCTAACCCCCCCGCCCCCCCACACACACACCTGGGACTGTCCTTTAGGTAGGACTGTTTGTGAAAGTGCTAGACATCAGCAAGAACTGCAAAGCAGAAAACAGGCTTTTTCAAAGCCGGTCAGAAGAAGTTTTAGGACTGGTGGAGCTTGAACCAAGGTCTTCAGTGGCTTTGAGTGTGGCCTCGGGGCACCACTTTTGCCATAGTTACAACATTATGCAGAGCTGCTTCATGAGGACAAAAAATATTAAGGACTTTAGCCCAAAAGAGAACTTGTCCAAACATAGCTGGTCCTTTGCAGAGCATGAAAAGATAATTTTCAGAGTTGCAGGCAGAGATTTAAGTTGACAAGCTAGCAAACATAGTACAGGGAACAGAACTTTTAGGCTGAGCAATGCTACCCTGAAGGTACAGACTTGAATCCTGGAAACCAGTTGAGAGATCTGTCCTTGAGTACAAAGCAGAGAACACACAGATCACCCCATTTACCCCAGAGCAGCTTTCAGCAGAGGGGATTTAAGACTTCCTTCCTCAACAGGATCGTGTCTTCTCCTTGGAGCTTTCTTTGGAAATCTTTCTAGGAGAGGCAAAGTAAGGTGATGGAACCAGTTGCCCCTGGAAGACGGAATGTAAACTTTGAATTTAGGCTGCTCTTGTTGGCATGTTACAACAGAATTATTTTCCCCCTTTTCTCTTGCATTTCCCTCCAAAAGACAGATACCTTCTATTCTGTTATGAAAATACCTCAAAATACAGCTGGGGTTCTGTGTGTGTTTGTGTGTGTGTGTGTGTGTGTGTGTGTGTGTGTGTGTATGTGTGTTTAGTAGAGATGAGACAGGTAAACAAGATGGAGAATTTTTAGTCATATGACTTTGGGGATTTTCTTAAATTTTATTGTTCTGGGCCAGTAACAAGGAGGGGTAGAATGCTTTTAGACAGAGCCTCCCAATGTTCTTACAGTTCTGGAAGCGTGTATGAGAATGTCTCAATAGGTCTCCAGGAGCAGTGGGATTGTCTCTTAAGCTCATCTCTCATGTGGGACAGATTTATAATCGGGGAGCCACTCTTCTCCCTAAAGAGTTGTTGAATCCATGTTAAAGAAGTGCCTTTCCCTTTCAAGGTGTGGTTTAAGAATCGAAGAGCTAAGTGCCGCCAGCAACAGCAGCAACAGCAGAATGGAGGTCAAAACAAAGTGAGACCTGCCAAAAAGAAGACTTCTCCAGCCCGGGAAGTGAGTTCAGAGAGTGGAACGAGTGGCCAGTTCACTCCCTCCTCTAGCACATCAGTCCCGACCATTGCCAGCAGCAGTGCTCCCGTGTCTATCTGGAGCCCAGCCTCCATCTCCCCACTGTCAGACCCCTTGTCCACCTCCTCCTCCTGCATGCAGAGGTCCTATCCCATGACCTACACTCAGGCTTCAGGTTATAGTCAAGGATATGCTGGCTCAACTTCCTACTTTGGGGGCATGGACTGTGGATCTTATTTGACCCCTATGCACCACCAGCTTCCTGGACCAGGGGCCACACTCAGTCCCATGGGTACCAATGCAGTCACCAGCCATCTCAATCAGTCCCCAGCTTCTCTTTCCACCCAGGGATATGGAGCTTCAAGCTTGGGTTTTAACTCAACTACTGATTGCTTGGATTATAAGGACCAAACTGCCTCCTGGAAGCTTAACTTCAATGCTGACTGCTTGGATTATAAAGACCAGACATCCTCGTGGAAATTCCAGGTTTTGTGAAGACCTGTAGACCCTCTTTTTGTGGGTGATTTTTAAATATACTGGGCTGGACATTCCAGTTTTAGCCAGGCATTGGTTAAAAGCGTTAGATGGGATGACGCTCAGAATCCTCTGATCAAAGTTCTGGGAGGCATAGAAGGAAAAGTGAAAGGCCTTAGAGGGGCCTATCGACCATCAACCTGAAATGGACAAACCAGTCTACTTAAGATCCTGTCATAGTTTTAGATCATTGGTTTTCCTGATTTGCAGTGATCGATCCGAAGCATTCTAGCCGTGTGCAACCAAACACCACCAAAAATAAAAATCAAACAAAACTAAGTTGTGAGGGAAGGGAGGGAAGGTCATAGCCTTCGTAAGCAGAGGTGATCCAATGTTTTAGCCAATCCTTGGTTGAATCTTAGGAATGAACAGTGTCTCGAGCTCATTCACGTTTCATGACCAACTGGTAGTTGGCACTGAAAAACTTTTCAGGGCTGTGTGAATTGTGTGACTGATTGTCCTAGATGCACTACTTTATTTAAAAAATAATGTTCATAAGGATTCAATATGTAGTTTAAGAGACAATCAGTGTGTGTCTTATACAAATGGTACATCTGTGGTTCTTAATCTGTGCTAGACTTCAAAACTGTGATCTCCTGTTATTGTATGCAACCTTGAGCCCCGCCTCTGCAGGGGCCCTTCTGTGATTAAATAGATTATAATTATAAGCAAAATTCAGAGCAACTGAATGAGTACAGATCTAAAAAGATTACCTTTGGCTGGAGGTGAGCTGCACTGAAACTTTACGGCAAAATGTCTCTGGACAAAGTGAGAGAAGAGAGACAAAGGACATTAATTCACCTGTAATTTACTGTTGGTAAACCTAGCAGTAAAGAGACATTGGTCAATGGCTCTGACCCCGATGAATTTTTAAACTGAGATCATTGTCGTTTATGCTTGCAGATGTTAACTGGAAAAGTTATATATGCATAAACCGTTTCTTCCTGGATTTGGCAGATATGTATAATTATATTAAAATGGTTCTAGCACAACATTGGGTCTAGTTTAATTTTATACCAGTACTTAAGAAATGAGAAGCCTACATTCAGCCTCACCTTTCCAAATTTTTTTTTTAGTAGGGAAGCGAGTAAATTAGCATTTTTTTAAACCTTTTTTTCTTCCTTTTTTGCTAATCTGCGGATGAACTAGATATGACAGTGGTTTGTAAACTTTTTGTGACTTCATCAGGACTGCTCTAAAACTGAATTTAGAGACAGTAACAATCACTAGGATCTTCTTTCTCTGCTGCAAATTTGGATTATTTCTTAGGCACTTTATTAGTATGTTTTTGAATAGATCAATTTTTGAGAGGGAGGGAGAGCTGTGGAATATCTCACTAAAGATGAGAATGACAAGAATTTCTTGTTTCTATTCTCTTATTTGTTTAAGAGGATTTTTTAAAAAAAACTTTCAAATTTCTGAGGCAAACATGAGAAGGAGTGTAATCAGAATCTGAAAGCAATTCGGGCAGAAATGATTTCCGAACAAAAGAGTTTCAGAAATCTTCTAAAACCTATAATTTCAGTAGTTGAACATAAGGCACCCTGGTCAGTTTTTTAAAGTGCTCAGAAAAAAAAAAAAAGGTCCCTTTTCAGCTGGACCTGTGTTTTGTAAATCAGTCACCAGAAAAGACAAGTGGGGCAATGATCACAGTACTTCCCAGGTAAAAGCAATATTTAATTTCATTTTAAACTTATGTTCTTCAATCTGACCAAAATTAAGTGGCTCTTGATTGTAACTTTTGAAATGAAGGTTAGCAGTTGCAACCATTTCGTTTCCTGGCTATTTCATTTTCTGCCCCTGGCTGCGCATGCTCTTTTGACTCTCACCGAGTCTTGCCTAAGTAAACTGTTTACAGATTTAAGAAAAAAAAAAAAAAAAGCCACAGTGTACAACCAACACTTAAAATTTTGAAGGCAAGATTTTCCAATACTTGATAATATTAATTCTACTATGGTTTACCTTAAAGTGAAATTGGGACGGGGGAGCCTTTTAAGATTTTCCCAGATTCAGGGTCTTAATCTCCCAGGTTCCCTCTTGCAATAGTAAAGTACATCCAAAATAACCAGTTTCTTACGTTGTCTTCAGTTTTCAAGAAGGCTCCCAAAGAATGGGGAAAGATCACCCTTTAAAAATAATGACAGTTTCTCTCCTGAAACATAAAAGAGGTTAGAAGAAGGAAGCCTGAGACCCTCTGAAGCCAATTTTTCCATCACCTTTGCACAGCTTCGTTTATCAGACCACGCAGTTGTGGGCAGGGGAGGTAGAGGTGAAGCCCGCCTGGCCAAGGTGGGGAGGCGGGGCGGGGCGGGGCGGGGCAGCTCCGGCTCGCTGCAGCCGGCAGAGTTCCGCTCAGCCCTGTGGTCCAGACCAGGCGCAGGGGAGTCAGAAAGCTCAGTGGGGGCGACCCCATCCTGAGGGGACAGGACGCCTCCTCCTAAGGGCCAGAGCCGCTGACTCGGGAACAACGTGCTCTTTTTGGAGGACAAAGGGGGTGGGGGCAGCTCGCTTTGCAGGGGTCCGTCGCCACGCGTCTTTATCTTTCCCACAAACTCCTGGCCTCTGCATTTCAGGTCGGGAGTGTTTCTTCCTTCATAGATGAGATAAATTCAATCAAGTCAATTAAGTTCCGGCTTGGGAAACCTCCGGGTTCCACATAACAGTTTCCTCCCCTCGGCTCCCACGCGGGTCCCTCTAATCCCACCTTTTCTGGGGTGTCCCCAGCTCAGCCTCTCCTCGGTCGCCGCCCACGTGGCCGGACGCGTGGGTCCCCGCGGCCGGATCGCCCCGGGCCACCTCAGGTCCACCTGCACGGCCACTGGGCCTCCGGACACCTGGCTGGGAAGGGCGATGCGGAGACCGGGGAGAGGCCGGAGCGCCCGCGTCCTCCGCCGGGAGGGGAGCGCTGGTCCCCGCGGCCGAGAGCGTCCGAGGGCGCTCGGAGCGCAGAGCCCGGCGAGTGGTCGGGGGTGCGGCCCGAGCCCCGCTTCCAGGGTAAGCCTGGCAGCCTCGGGCCCTCGGCTCAGCCTGCGCTCCCACTCCCCTACACTTCGCCCTGCTCCTCCCCAGCGCCCGCTCCTTTTTGCGCCTGGCGCGGCAGGCCAGAGAGCCAGAGGCGGGTCCCGGATCGGAGAAGAGGACCTTTTGGCGTCGGGGCAGCGCCAACTTGCCTGGCAGCCCATTCCGGTTATCTGCAGTGCAGAGGCCTCATACGAGTGCCGTCTCCACTTAACCAGAACGGACCAGTCCGGACGCGCACACCGCGTGCTGCGGCCCGCACCTCACGCCCGACAAGGCTGTAACCCAAAACCAGGCGTGCCACAGCTAGGCCCTGGCTTATGCATATAGATGTGTTTTTAATCATGCAAAAGGGGAACACAAAGAAATAGGGTAGGAGACCGGCTCATCCCAAGCAAATGGAAGCAACCCGAATGGGAAGATGCAGGTTCAGGTTCATCAGATCCCCGCCTGGATTCTCGCGAAAACTTCGGGAAGGACAGCCGTCTCTTTTCCTTTCTTTCGTGCCATTAAAGGATCCAAGCCCAGATCTGCGCTGCTCTGAGCACCTCTGTTTTCCTCTCCTGACCTCGCGCAACCTGCCAGCGCACGTTGCTGTGATAAAACCCGATTTCTACAGACGCCCCATTTCCGACCTTGGGCTAGTGGGATTCGATAGACCCGGTGCCCTTGGACTTTCCCTGGAGTGGGGAGGACACCCCCATGATGCTTTCGGTATTCGGCTCCGAAACCGCACAGATGATAGGATTTGTCTCGGACAGAATTAACATTACACGTGAAACTGTAGTGCACCAGTGTATTGAGACATGTCGCATTGGATTGCCTGCAGCATCTCTGCCAAACTGCCTGTTAAGAACAACAGGACACTTTGAGTAGTGTTAATTTTTTTTTGTTTGTTTTTTTTTACTTTAGTAAAATAAAATCTAGGCACTACCTGGAAAGGGAGGTTTTTCTGATGAAAACAGTTGGAAAGAAATGAACCAAATCAGGAACTGGAGGAGGCTTCTGTATGCAGAGGGGCTGGACAGGAGGAAGCAGTGTGCATCTGAAAGGACCGAGGCCCCCATGCTAAAGATAATCAGCCAGACTTCCTCTCTTGCAAGCAGTGTGTTCCCTGTCTTTAAAAGCCAACCTGCTATCGATGCAAACAAACAATAAGCAAATTCACATAAAGGAGCCCTACCAAGTCCAACCCATTTGGTCAAAGATAACTGTGTGACAGGGCCGCCATCATGTGAGCCTGGCTTCAAATTTTGTTTTTCTCCTAGAGGGAAAGTCAAACAGCAGGAGGTCTATGACTCATTTTTATTCCTTAATTTCCACTCTTTACCTTCAATTTTTAGTGGAAATACAGTCTTTTTTGGGGGGGTGGAGAAGACAAATATCATGGTAAATACCAAAAGTAAGTTGGCAAAGTTTGTATTGACATCTGTTTTAGCATCACAGGGAAAAAATGTCTCTAAGAAGCAGACAGAGTCCTCTGCCACCTTCCTAGTGACCCTGCCTCATTTGACTACCGAAGAGGTGGGTGCTGAGCCTTTACATTAAAGAATTGTTAGTCTACTTGACATCACTAGTAGAAATTTCCAGCCCAGGTCTTATTTTTTAAAAAGTTTCTAGCAGCCATAGGATTGATGATTGATGTTTCATCCTTCTTGGACTGTTCATGAAGGGACTCGCCAGTGACCCTGCGGGGAGCCACAGGAGCAGCAGCCACCTGCTGGCTCTTGGTCCCAGGTCCTGAGGAAAAGACTGGAAAGCGTCCCTCAGAGACGGGTCCTGGGCGGGGTGACTGTGCTCAGGCACTGCCTCCAATCTCTCAGCCGGAATCTCTAAAGGCCTTAGACTACTCTGAAACCAGAAAATCACTCATCGCTGCCTTGAGTTGTTAAAAATCTGTCCCTAGAAACATAGTCACATTTTAGGATCATGGGCCATTAATAGAAATCTCCTTAACGTCGGAATGGTTCTAAAATGCGTTGATAGTGGATTACTGGGGCCTAATGGACAATATGTGATAACATGGTCTCAGAGTGGCAAGGTTCTAGAATGGGTGTTTGACCACAGCCACCTGATTATCAGCTTACAGCCAGACCACTTTTTAGCGGTGCTCTTAGGAAGCAGCAAAGCCCGAGTCTTCCGTGTTCTTCATTTAACCGACTTAACCGCACTGTGTTCTGGGAACGCGGGAGACACCGCCGCCGGCGAGAGGGGCCCTGCGGACGTCACGCGGCGGCGCGCCGGCCTGGGCGCCTGGGCTCCCG